TAAAAATTAAAAAAAAATTATAACGGGGACGGGTTCCCAATCGGGGAATCCCCACCCCATCCCGGCCCGCAAAATTTAAGGGACGGGGGCGGAGATGGGATGGCCTCGCCCCGTTGCCATCCCTAATTAGGGGTAGGAGTTGAAAATTAAAAATAATAATAATAGTAATTAGAATCAAAATAAGAATTACCTATAACATTAAGGACTATTGGGTAACTTTTTACTATACACATTTTTTTTTTCCAAGTTCTAAATATGTTGTTGACCAAACCTAATTAGTAATAACTTCAGTTAGACGATGAAGCTAATCTAGTCATACGTTATTTGAGTTTGGTTGATTGAAATAAAGTAGTATTTGACCTATCGACCCGACCCATTATATTTTTTATCCATTAAAGTGATCTTTGTGTCGTGACCCTTCACATCTAGTACTTTCAAATCTAACGTGATATTTCATTTAAAAGTCGTTAAAATTTCAACTTGGTTCTATACGAGCTAAGAACTATGAACCGATTCAAATCATGCAATATACAAGTCCAATCAACTCAAAATGTCACCAAATCATATAATTAATTAAAAATATCTAATTCAGAATTAATTGTACATTGGTTTTTTCCCTTTTCATTATTCTCTTTTATAGTATGATTTTGAGGATTTCATTAGGGTTCAAATGTATGGTTATGAAAGGGAGGTGGTCTTGTCAATTGAGACAAGGAGGATTCAAACAAATGTCTAAATACAGTCTCTAACACTTTTCCAAATGATTGATCCATAAAAATTCATTCTCCACTCATTGTTATTTCTTTTTTTTTTTTAAGGTTTAAATGTTTATTTTAGTTTTTGTAGTTTAAATGATCGTTGAAATAAAATAAAAAAAGTTTAAACAATTGTTCATTCCATCATTGTACTTTCAAAATGTTTATTTGGGTTCTATAGTTTTAAAAATTGACTAATTTAGTCCCTATTGAAGAGTAACTATTTTGGTCTCTTTTTACAAAATTTTAACGTAAATTTTATATATAATGAAAATCCTTTAATACAAATTTATGGCTACATTTTAACAAATTTGGGGAGTGAAATGTTATGCTTGATCAAAAGAAATAAGATAAAAATGAAAATAATTAGATTAAAAAGGTTGTTTTTTTTTAAATACATTGATTAAAATAGACGTTTTGGAAGTTCAAGGATCAAAATGAACCAAAATATTATTTAAACTTTTTTTATTACCATAATATTTTGAACCAATTTTTAAGTTATATATTTTGAATAAGCATAATTAAAAAGCACGTTTAAGAATCTTTAAACTGCTTTTATAGTTTTAAAATAAGATGTTTTATTTACAAGAAAAAAATTTAATTTTAAAAAGTTTATTCCAAACTTATTTTTGGTAAGTTCTCTTTTAATATTAGTAAAGAAGTTGACTTAATAATTCGAAAGGAAAAAAAAAGTTGAAGTTTGTAAAATGAAATCATGATTAAAATTATATTCGAAAGAAATAAAATAAAATTTATAGTAAAAGAAGAGAAAGCTTAATCATGCCACGTAAACGCTTCATTTTATTCTGTGTCCGGCTGACGACTGTGTGTAGTGGACTGACTTTTTTATTCCAATACTATCCTTTAATACTTAATTTATGACTTTAAATTCCATTTATTTTAGTTTTATGAATTTTCAACTTTTTTTTAGTTCTTCAATTTTTAAACATTTTCACTTTCCCGGTTTAATTTTTATACTTTTTCTAACCATAATTCAAGGATTAACACATACAACGTTGATAAAAAAAAAAAAAAAATTAATTCGAATTCCCATAATTTTGAACTAAAAATTACTTGCCCATCACTTTAATATGCATATTTTAAGCCAAGTTACTCATTTGTTGCAATCAAAAAATACAAGTGAGCAAAAATGACCTAAGAGTCAAAATTCTACCGTCTAACTTTTAATATATATAATTTTGTCCATTATGAAAATCTAAATGCATCAAATTGGGGAGAAAAGTTAAAGTTTTTACATTTTGCATATATTAGTTTGTTATCATGTGTCATGTATAAAAGGACCCTCGATGAGGGTGTCGGAGAACCTGCTTATGTTTGACATGTTGTGTGTGTGTGTGTGTGTGTGTATATATATATATATATATATATAGTAATTTTCACTGTAAAATATAAATATATACTAATTAAATCTAATAGGATAGGATTTATAATTTTAATTAAAATGTAAACAAAAAGATTTATTTTCGTTTTTTTAATTAAAAAGTTGTATTGCGTGAAAATGGGTACGACGGATAAGTATGGTTCGTCTCTTTCCTTTGTTGCTCTGCCTCTAAAGAGAATAAAAAGAAGTTTGCTGGTTAATTAATTAAATATTTTGGACACAAAAATTTATAGACCAAAATGAAAGAAATTCTCGCCAGTGGGACCAAAAAGGAATTTAAACACTAATTTACAACTTTGTTTGGACTTTCCCTCAAAGTCTCCTCTATAAATACAATTCCCTCAAATCCTTGTCTCCTCACTCACTTTCGCTCTACTCCTCTTCTTCACTTTTTGCTTCTTCTCTCTCTCTATCTCTCAATCAACAACCGGAAAATGCAGTACCAAGCACACCAGTACGGCGCTTCATCTTCTTCCTCCTCCCGTATCGGAGCTTCGGCCAACGACATGCTGCGGCAGATCGAGCGGATGGCGGCGGAGAACGCGGTAGTCGTATTCAGCGTGAGCACGTGTTGCATGTGCCACGCTGTCAAGAGGCTCTTTTGTGGAATGGGAGTGAACCCAACTGTGTACGAGCTCGACGAGGACCCGAGAGGGAAGGAGATCGAGAAGGCCTTGACAAGGCTGATAGGAAGCGGCTCCTCCCCCGTCCCCGCCGTCTTCATCGGCGGGAAACTCATTGGCTCCCTGGATAGAGTCATGGCCTCCCATATCAACGGCTCTCTCGTCCCCCTCCTCAAAGATGCTGGCGCTCTCTGGCTCTGAACCTCCAAGAGCAATTCTGTCAGTTACTAAAAGGTTACTGATATCTTGACCGGTTGAAATACACGTTCGAGTTTGACAATAGTAATGCAAGTGAAAAAAAACAAGTAAGAAAAAAAAAAGGAGGAAGAGGAGATTTCTAGGAAATTTATGTAATACACATAACTTGAAAGTGGCCTATATAGCTCCCTCCTCTGGAAAAGGAAATTGGAAAAAGGAAAAAAAAAGTGTAATTTTCTTCCATTTTGAATTTATTTGCCTTCTCTGTGGCTCAAGAGGTGGGTTTCTTTCTAACCCAGTGAGCTAATTATATATTCTCAATGCATAAAAAATGGAAATGATCTGGATTCGAATGCTTATAGGAGAAAATAGTTGCATGGCCAAAAAGGGAAATATTTGATAAAAAAAAACAACATATTCTCAATCTCAATAGATAATATATATACCCGACGGTGTAGCTTGAAAATTTAATGTTCTAAGATGTGTGTTTGTAGAGCATTTTGAGATGTAGGTGTTACCTGCAAAAGAGAAAAATTAAACTCCCAAAGTTGAGATAAGTAGTATGTTAAAGTATTCTCAAAACGAGCTATATACAAACATATAGTGCAAGTTTCGTCGCTACTTAGAGGTTATGATGATGTTTGAAATCTTTTCTCTCTTCCTCTTTCAATTGTTCCTCTCTTGCTACGCGGAGGATGGTCTTACCTTATTATAAACTTTAAAATTTTAACTTTAATCCAATTTAACATGATATTACAGGAGGTCAAGATTGAAAATGTGGATTGAATAAATTAAAAGATTAAAAGAAGATTTTAAATGGCAAAGTTTTCTGTGCAGCGTTCTGAACTCTCTCGCTCTTATTTTTCTGGTTTTGCCGGCGTTGAAGTACTCGCAAATCCGGCGGCGGCCGCGGCTTCGGAGGTGGTCGGATTCCGGCCGGCGGCTGTTTTATTGTCTTTGGTGTTGGTCGGCGAATTGTTCCGTTATGTGGTCGTGGGAGACATCCGTACGATGTGTGGGGCCCACTGCACTGTTTTTTTTCCTATTTATAAATAACAGATTAATTTTTTTAATCTGCATAGTGCATATGGTTATGGAGCCGTACTTACTGGACTTTTCATATTAATTAAGATATATTTATGATCAGGATTAAATAATCATACAAGTTAAAAACACTTGTTTAAAATCATATTTTTCTTAATAAAAAAATAGCTTTTTTTTWATTTTAATTAAAGTTTATTCCGATTTCTCTTAATAAAATCGGAATATTGTTAGATTAATCTTTTAAATTTAGTAACTTTTAAATAAAATAATTATCACTTTTATTAGATATGATCGTCCATTCCTTCTACTTTATTCCTCCGATTCAATTTTAGAGATGGGAATGAAGTATAGGTTTAATTTTAGTAACTACTATTATTTATTTAATATTTGTATAAATTAATTATTCGAATTAATAGATAATATGGTAAATTATTTTCCTTTAAATTGCAACTTTAAAATGTGTATTTTATTTTTTTATTTAAATAAAATGTAGCGAGATTCAATTCTTGATGAGGATGATGATACGGAAGATATCTTTGACTTTACCCATGGGGTTGCTATTTATTTCTAATGTCAATCCATGAAGGTTGATACCTAATGAAGAATTATTATTATGTAAAAGTATATTGTTTATTTGATACCTAATGAAGAATTATTATTATGTAAAAGTATATTGTTTATTTGATACCTAATGAAGAATTATTATTATGTAAAAGTATATTGTTAGTAATATTTTTATTTGCAATAATTTAAACTATGTACTTTAAAAAAAATGTAATTATTACTGTTGACGTCGAATTTCGAAGAGGTCTACGTGTCCCTTGTACGAGTGTTCGTGTCCAGGAGCAAATGAGGCTACAACCAGAAAACTCGACACCTGTGTGGTGTCCTACTTAATACACTCTGATGCTTAAGTTAGTAATCAAAGTAAGAAAATAGAGTAAACAGTTTAGTGATAGATTTTTTACTTTCTTGGAAATTCTTCCCTTTTATAGGCGTGGATGGCCGACCAGCAAGGACGACGATTGAGGTGGTAGGGGCGCGTTGAGCTGTATGAGATTTTGATGGAGTGTATGTCACCGACAGATAGTGGGTGGCGCCTCCATTTGCAGCAGTCATCGGCGTCCTCTTCATATAGTGGTGGCAATGACACACCCGCATGTTAGCGCAGTGTATGGTGGTGACCGCTTGTGTTCCCGCGTCTTGCTGTCGTTTTTTAAATCTGACACGTGTCCTGCTTGGACTTACCCCCAATAATTATGATGATGTTAAGTTAAAATTTTAATGGAAAATTTTGATTAAGAACCAACATTTTATGTATGGGTAAATCAATAAAACCAACCCACTTTTTATATCAAACATGGAAGGTAGGTTTTAATAACTAACCATTCATATATGTCAGTTCATCGTATAATACAATTCGTCTATTAGAAAATTCATTTGTTACATTCTTAAGTATAGGTGCTAATTAGTTTTTTTTAAGAAGGAGAATTCGAACTCACGAACTTCTAATCGGACATAATATGTACTTTAATCCATCAATCATATTCGTATTGGTACGAGTGTTAATTATTATTTTGTTAATTGCATGAAAATTTTAATTTTGGATGGGTTGTCACCAACAAATTTGAGATAGTTCTCATCATTTGGTTGCAATAAATATGTTGATTTAATCATATCTTCAAAGCAGTACATTGCTAGAGGTGCTAATTATTTTTGCCCAACACAATATTTCTTTCAAGTTCTTTTAAATCTCGTTCTAAAACATAAAAAAGAGAAGAAAAATTAAAAAAAAAAAAAGGAAAAAAAGCTTTTAAATCTATTTTTCCAAAAATTCAAATGACCTTTTATTTAACAAATATTTTGTTTGGGCCCTCTGTCGGGCCTCCAACTTTTGTAGCTCGGGCATTGAGAAGCCTGGATAGAGCCTTGTTCGGCCCAATGGCCCAATTTATTTTTTGCTCTCTTATGGTAGAAATTATTGGAAGATGCGGAGGTTTAAACCATTGGAGCGTCAGAGAGATAAGTCGCAAAACAACCTCAAATCTATATCCCGTGGTTATTAAAAAACACGAAAATTTTTTAATGTGCATCAAACGATTATTAATATACCTACTAACTGATTAAGTGCTAGGTAGTTGTTAACATGAACATAGCTTAGCGATGAAGACATCCTGCGTCGTTCAGCTACATGAAATTATAGTAATTGATATAGCTTGAATATGATTAAATGCAATGATTCGTATTCCTTGAACTTCTAAGTGGTAGAAGAAGAGAGGTTATTGAGAGTTAAAGTATAATTTCTCATATCTAAAAGTCGATGAATAATACTACTTCAGATCCTCGTTTAAATATCAACCTTAGTAAAAATTCTAGCCGAGGTATACAATAAAATCACTCTTAACCCATCCGTTAATGTAGAAGTCTCGTCGATCATCAGGTATCCTGCATGTAGTGGTAAGTGTTCGATGAGTGTGCCCCACGTATTGATGCCACAAATGCAGAGATGACCTCTGCATATGGACTATGATTGTTCACTGTCGGACAAATGCCTCAAACTCTTATTGATTTGAGCATTAAAGCTCTTCCATTTCACTATGCATGTTTCTACAAGTCCATCTGTATTCCATGGGTGATCAACATGTAGCATTAAAAATTTTATAATATGTCAATAAATTTAAAGAGTAGTCTATTGAATCTGTGTAATTTAAATAACTATAACATATTTCTAAGCTTCCAATCGATAAATTATTATTGTTGACTTTGTTAATTCAATCCTTTTTAAACCATCAAACGGTTGGAATTGCACTATATATCATAATATTTCAATAAACTAATTTTTGTATATCACATGAGTGTTACATTAACAGTTATATATATAGATAGAGGAAATAAATAGACGAAAATAAAAAATTTAAGACAAACAAAATCAAAGATGAAAAAGTATGATTCAACTTCTTCTTCGTTTTGTTTTGTTCTGTTATTATTATTATTTTTTTGTTCAATGGGGAAATTTTCCGGCTGAGGTTCGGTCAAAACCGGCGGTCGGGCGTCGTAAAATCCGTGAGAAATGTGGACGGTTCAAACCGTGCTACTTCAATTCCATACATTCTCACCAACCAATCGCTTTCCGCCACCTAACATTCCCCACCTCCTTCCCCTACACTCCGCAACACCGGATCCCCACCTCTCCCGGTATTTTTTCACCGACAAACCCCACTCACAAAACGATTCCACTCGCAAATTTCAAAAATAAATAATAAAAGAAAACAACAACAACAATGATAATCACTTCTAACTTTTAACTTTCAAGTTTCAAAATCGAAAATTCCAAAATTCACTGTTATTAATTTATGGGTAAATTATAAGTTTCATCTCTCGACTTTTAATTTTATAGTGTTCATTTAATTTTTATATTTAACTGTTTAATAAATCTTTAATTAGATCCTATACTTTTTAGATAATATTTTGGTTCAAGTTTTGTTCACCTTAATAAAGATTATTCTAGTTATTGTACTTAAAAAATATATTTTTTTTGAACTGTTTATTTTATTATTTGTATCTTGTTTCTTTCGATCATAATTTTAYGTGACACCATCACTAAATTTTTTAAGGTATACGTATAAATTTGTATTTAAATATTTTTATTGGATATAAATTCTGTAAATAGGAATGAAAATTATATTTTTTAAAATGATGGAAGTAGAATGAAGATTTAGAGAGTACAATAGCTAAATTAAACAAAATTTGATAATAGATAGACTAAAATTAATGATTTGAAATTAGATCAAAATAAAAAAAAGTAACAAATATATGGACCAAAATATTTCATGAGATAATATTGTTAACTTATATTTTTGTCACAAGATGCTAAAATTATCTTGAAGTCAACCGACCATGTAACTTTTAATAATGTAGTTATCAACTGCACAGCCAAAATCTTTTATAAGAAAAAACAAAATTTTACGTTTCCAACTTTTTAAATATATAATATGAGAAAAATTAGGGATAAATTTTTGAAAGTATAATATTTCATAAAAAAATAATTTAAGATAAATAAATAAGGAGGAATTGTCAAGTAGCAAAACTTATAAGAAAATGTATAAAATAAAAGGTGTAAATAAATAGAGAGTTTAAGGTTATGGTTATGGTTATGGTTATGGTTATGGTTATTTATCTGACCGAAAATCGAAGCTGAAAAAAAAAATGGAAGAGATAATGAAAAAGGGGAGCCAATGAAATCAAAACTCGCACGCATCTGAATCATTTTTAAATTAAAGCGGAGAAAATCAAAATCAGAGGAACAACGAAGAACCAAGAACGGAGAAAAAGCTTCTATGATCGGAGCAGAATCTAGGGTTCTTTCTCATTTCAAGATCTCTTCCCGCGATTCTTTAAGGTCTCCCTTAATCACTCCAACAAAAAGATTAACCTTCTGATTCCTTATATATATATATATATATATATATATATATATATATATATATCTATCTATATCTCTCTCTCCGCATCATCTTTACTCAGGTATTCCCTTCCTCTCCCCCTTATCTTTACTTTCATGGTGTTTGTGAAATTGAAATGGATTCAATCGATTGCAGCTTATTTATCATTCATCTTGATCAATCTATATGGTTGCTGAGGAATCGAGACACGTTTCCGGTTCCGATTCGGAGGCTGTCAATCTTGCTGTTTATAGTTTTATTCAGTACTATGTCTGAGTTGATTACTGTGTCGTCTTTGTTTCCCCTTTCTTCGGGACGGTCGGTTAGAGTATTTGCTGTTTGACTTGGTGTAGGTTGGGGATTTGCGTGGGAGGATTTGTCGGGGAAGTTGCTGCTGGCGATGAAGGTGGTGTTTTATTGGTAGAGCTCAAATGCCGGACGAGGACCTGATCGAGCTTAAGTTCCGACTTTATGATGGATCGGATATCGGTCCGTTTCGTTATTCACCAACTTCGACAATAGCGATGGTGAAGGAGAGAATCTTGGCAGAGTGGCCTAAAGGTCAGGGAGTTTTATTTTACTCGTCTGGGTTTTCAATTTGTGAACTGTTGCATGGTCATTACACTCGCCCCTTTATTCTAGTCAGCTGTACTTATATAACTTAATGTTCTCTTTTAATTGAAGCCTGCTGTGTGTGTCGACAATTGACTTATTGACTTGGAAGCTTGGAGCTCAACTTAGAACATGTATATACATGGAAAGAAGAAAGATAAATAAAGATAACTTAGACAAGTGTACTGGCTCGCGTGGTTCGCAAGAAGGAATAACTGATATATATATATATTATATATAGTTTTATCCTTTCCCTCAATTTCCTTCAACTCTATAGGGTGAAAGAGAACAAATGAAGGATTGCTAGAAATAAGTATGGGTTCTGTCAGGAATCTTATTTAATCAGTAAATCCTTCTCAGGATGATAATCAGAGCCAGAGGTTAATAATTACCACCTCTGTCTTTGTTGATCAAGCTGGATAGGAATATTGTACGTTTTTGCATTGTAGATTTTCTTGGAGCCTGGAGGCCTGTTTTGTAATTTGTTACAGAAGAGTGAAAATCTATTCTAACTTTATCTTCACGTTTTCCTTTTATGGCTGAATGAGTTGGAGTGCTCTTAGATTCAGTCCACTTTTCAAGTTCATACTTCAGATAATAGTTATGATAAGAATGTATCTTATGCTTACTCGTTTTTGAGTAGCAGGAGAAGGGTATAGACCGATTGGTTCCAAAATAATACTAGTTGGTATCCTATCTAGAGACGAGTATTTTCAGACATGGATTGTGCCAACTAATAATAACATGGAATAAAGAAATTCATTCCTCCAGAATGTTTCTTCCCTTTGTTCGAGTATTTTGCATTTCTTTCTCACTTCATTTGCCTGTCCAACTTTATGCGACCTAACTATTTCTGTAAATGTTTTAATTTTTTAGATAAGAAAGTTGTACCCAAGGCAGCAAATGACATAAAACTGATAAATGCTGGCAAGATTTTAGAAAACAACAAGACTGTTGGTCAATGTCGAGTGCCTTTCGGAGAGCTGCCTAGAGGAGTTATCACTATGCACGTTGTGGTGCAGCCAACTATAGCAAAAGCGAAAACAGGTAGCCATTCCGGTTAATTATTAGTTGTGCTTTCTGCATTACCTTTAATAGCTATTATATTGAGAAATAGTCAACATCACATATACTATCGCTATGCCAGTTAAGTGGTATTTATGTGCTCCGTGTATTTTGATTTTGGTTCATCATTATGAACAGAAAGGAAAATATTTGAGATTGATAATATGTCATCGTAATAATAAGTTGTGCCTGATATTTTTAGTCATATATCAACGGTGTCCTGGTTTCCAGAGGCGTTGTGATGATAATCGTTGGTGTGATTTTCTCTTAAACTTCAACTTGTAAATCAACATGCCTACACACTCGATGATTCTGATGTTCGTGTAGTATGATTAGGATTTAGGGAATTTTGTTATTATAGATTGAGTTTTTCAATGGCTCCTTTTTAGTTGGGCTCAGTTTTTAATTAGTTTTAGTAGTTGGGTTGTTAGTTAGTTTGTTAGTTGGTTATTTCGTTGGTAATTGGTTTAGGTTAATATAACATCCTCTATAAATAGGGGATGATCAACTTGTAGAAGTGAGTAAATTTTGGTTCATAGTTTTGGTTTTAAAATCTCTCGACTTAAAACTTGAATTTTTTTAAATCTTCAGAAATAGGACTAATAGATCTATATGAACCTTGACATTAGTTTTTCATTAGCTACGATAATGGAAAGTTGCCGAGACATTTTAGATTAATATTAATATTAATTATGGTCCGTCAGTATATCAAACGAAGTTCCATTTATCTTTGTTGATGTGATATTACAAGTAATTTTGTCATGCTGATGTGACAATTTTTTAGATATAAGCTCCTCTCTTTTTTATCTTCATTCAGTCCCCTCCTGGTTTGTCTCTCTGTGACCCCCTTTCACCCACTCTTTAGTCTCTTTTTCTCTCTGCCTAGCCCCCTCCCCCTTTTTCTTCTCGCTCTATTTATTCTCTAGGCTTCTTCGCTTCGCCTAATTTCCTTCTCATTCACGTCTTCGATTACCAATGTTGTTTGGGGTTGCTATCATCACTCGTGGGGACGTGAATTTGATGCCTACAGTGTCATTGTGATTCTGCAACTAAATGTGGTCGGCATTCAAGGCCACTAGACCTGTTTTGTTTTCTTGTTGATATTGTGGATCTTCTCGTAGTTGGGGGAAAGGGAGGATCCAAGTTAAACAAAAAATGGGACAGAATGGAAGTGCCACGGATCTTTGTGCCGTGCACCTGAAAATTTGTTTATGCCATGGTATACTAGATCTTGCTGGGGCCATGGTCTGGATTTTGCCCTCCGTATGTTGATCTAGGAGGGGAGGGGAAATGTGGCTGAGGGAGAGAGCAAATTGGGGGGTAGAGAGGTCAATTGAAGGGGGAGATGTAGAGCCATAGAGGAAATGGGGGAAGAATGAGGGGAGGTGATAAAAAGGAATATGCATAATTTTTTAAAATATATATAATTAATTTTTAATGCCACATCAATATAATTGATATTATAAAATATATATACATGGAGTCAGCTTTCTGTCACAAAATATTCAGACSTATTTCAAGGTTGAAATAATTGGAAGAAAAATTGAAAAACTTTTGGATCAAATAAACTCGTATAAAATTTTAGGATAGAAAATGTAATTTACTCTAAATAGGACTTTGGTTGTGGATTTTTTGGAGTTTCATCTTCCAGATGATAGGTTGCATTGCATTGAATTAGATGTCTTGCAGATGCATGCTTCCTTTCTCTCTCTCTCTCTAAATGATCCCTTCCCCCATGGATCAAACAAGTTACAGCTCATAATGTAAGACCTTGTGGTTTGATTCAGTCTTTGCTTCCTAAGCGACTGCTGAAATGTAGTTTCTTTATCTATACAGAAAAAAAGGTTGACAAGACCCCAAGGAAAAATGTATGTTCGTGTTCGATATTGTAGGAAGGTCGGTATCAATTGTAAGGAAGCTTGAAGTTTGCAATGGGGCTCGTGGGCAGCCTTATGGGGTCAAGAAATGTGTAGCAAAAGAGAATAATCTGTATAACAAAGTTCCCGTCCCTCATAATTACAAGGTTTGTTTCAGGTCGATACTGCGTGACACGAATTTATCGTGAATCTATATAGTATCAATTGTAGTCTGAAGTATGTTGGTGGTTTTGATTGTTTCAAAATTATTTTTACAGAAAGAAATGGGAGTCATCTTGACCCCAAGATTTGTATGTCGAATTGAGCCATGTCTGCAATTAATTTGGAGTCTTGAGCATGGACTAGGGCAATGGGGAGTTTGCAGTCGTTTTGACTTCTGAAAAAAGTGATTTTTAAGTATCTTTGCTCTTTGATTTTGATGCTTTTGTTGGATGCGTTTGATTTTGTGACCTTAAATTTTGAGGCTTTGCTTAAACTTTTTGAACTTGGGTTTGGATATTGATAGTTAGGAAAGAAATTGGGCTGTGGCAAATGGTAAGGCAGTTAATTACAATTCTAAGGCAAGGGTTTGGTTTGGTTTTGTTTCTTTATTGCTTGAGAAAAAAGAATATGGTAATTTGTAAATTATATTTTGAAAAGTATAGTGGTTTTTTTTATAAATAATACTCAATTTATCTATTCAGTTGATGGTTTCGATGTTGTTTATTAAAAAGTGATTATGTTGAAACTATGACATTTGATAACTATTTATTTGTAATTTTTTGTTTTTAAACATTTATGCTTGTTTTTTACGATTTCATTAATAAGTTTTTCATATCTCTGGAAAGTATATTTGAATTTTTAGTCAAATTTGAAAAAATAAATTTTTGAAAACTACTTTTATTAGTTTTTAAAATTTGGCTTAAATTTTAAAAATGTTTACAAAAACTTATATAACAAAATAAAGGAAAAATGACGAAACTAATATTTTGAAATTTAATTTTTTAAGATAGAAATGAATGACGTTGAAATGGAATCTTAATAATTTTAATTCATATTATCTTGTATTTAAATAAATAGATGAATTTACCTTTCAATTACCGCATTTTAATAAAATTAATAGTGCTCTTTAGGTATGTTAAAAAAATATATATATATAGTGTTCTTTAGGAGGTGTCCTAATAATGGTTTTGTTGGTCTGTTTTTGTTTTTGTTTTTTTTTTCCCTGCAAATATTTATTTTAAATTTGCTATATTCTAGGGAAAAAAACTTTTATTTTCATCAGTAGCAGATAATTACAAAAATCAAGAGAAATAAAAAACATCAATAGGTTGTGCAGAAAAAAACATCTGGTGCATTTTGATTCTTACGTTTATTTTTATAGATTTATTTTCCTTTAATCTCAAGAAAAAATGGATGTACTAATTTCACGACTATATAACTCAAAATACATAAATTTAAAAACAAATTTTCAGGTCATATGTTTTTATAAATCACAAATTCGTAAATCAAATTAGTCAAAATTCTATAATAAGTCCTTCTGGACCATCAAAATACAAATTAATAGATTCAATTTTTCCAATTAAAATTTATTAACAAATATCCTTCAAACATGCAGGACAAATGGCATATTATTTGGTACTTGTAGTTTACCTGAGAATAAAACTTTTAACCAGCTATAAGGGGTCGTTTATTTCATGAGAATCCAAGATTCTTGTGGTATGGGCATCTAGATTCCCACGTTTGTAGATATTCAGACATCTCGAGATGCTCAAGTATCATGAGATGTCCGAGTAATCTAGGATGTCCAAAGGTATTCAAGTCCATTTAGATGCCTTTTTGAAACATGGGTTTCCATGATTTGAGGAAAGACATTTTTATCCCTTCATTATTTTACATATATTTTGTTTTATCAAATTTCTTTAGTTTTTTTGTAATTTTATAATTTAAATAAATTAGTATACTATTAATTAATAAGCAATTAAGTATATTTATGTATTATACGTACATATAAAATAAACTTCAATTAATCTTAAGTACATAATTTTAAAACAACATTTTTTTAACGATCGGTCTACCTTTGATATTCTTCTTCTTAAAAGAATATAATTTGATAATATAATAAATGAATTTCACCAAATATAACATTAATTATATAATTGTATTTTTTAAAAAATATTAAAGTTGAAAATGAACATTAATGTATAAATTATATAAACGTTCGTAAGGACATTTTTGGAACATTGTATAAATTTATTACATTCACAAACATACATCTATAATTCCGAACATTTGAAATTTCAGGTATCTGAAGATGCCAGACATCTACATTCCAAAAAAAACAAATGATCCCTAATTTCGTGTATGTCTTTTTTAGTGAGTTACCTTTCAGTGTATTTTCAATAAATTTTAAAATTAGTAATCACAATTAATTCCTGGTTAATTTTTTCTTATATTGAATCAAAATATATTAACACTGTCATTTATTGAAACAAAATATATTAACACTATCATTTCTTGAATCAAAATTGCTATTTTTTAAAGTACAGTATGTGAGATAGAAGATCGAACTCATAACCTCTCTTGATTGAAGATATATATCAATTATTGTTGAGCTATGCTCGTTTAGATCAAACTTGATGCTACTATTTTGTCTAAGTTAGATTAAAATTAACTTCAAACTATCGATGCAAAACTAATTTAAAGATTTATTGAAAGTATACGAATTAAATATGGACATTTGAGAGTAGTATGTTAAAATGAAATGAATCCAGTTCGGACCAAAGTAATATTTTAGCCTATTTATAATATTTGTAGCAGTTCAACATAAGAAAAATAAAAGACTTGTATAGCAATAGCAATCTGTTAATATTACAAATTTTTTACAAGATTCATTTTCCCCTCCCCCCCTTTTCAGCTTTCACACGTCTCAAAAACTTAGCGGTGGATCGCAAGAATCTCCCTGTTTCCACTCTCCTACATGTCAAAAATTTAGTAGTGGATAGCGAGAGTCCCCAAATTCTTAATCTAGCATTGTATCTACTATGCCAGATGAACCCGAAATCTCGGTTGTAGCCCGGCCAGAAAGGAGGTATGTCCTAACTGTAATTGCGAGTCACCGGAGTGTATCAAGCAGCTGCAGCGCTGAGATGAGCCACCACCACATTCTGCTACCTAATACCAATTTTCAAAGGGTAAAAAAAAAAAAAACTTGAAAAAAGAATTGTACTTCTGGGAGCAAATTGCATAAGCAGTATTACCCAGGGCCCTGCCTTTTCCTAAGCAGGGTCGACCAAAAAGCATTCTCAACCGCGAAGATTGCTCAAATTCACACATTTTTTTAATCACTTTTTGCAGGAGGCCATGGGCCCCAAATCGGATTGCCATCTCTAACCCCACTCCACCGTATCACGAGCTGCATAGTCTTTTTTTGTGGCTCAGCTTGCAATCTCCACCACCAAATCTCCTTTCCCCTTTAGCCATGTTTTCCGAGCTCATGTGATTTGGCAACTCCTGCAATTGTCAAAGAATTAACAAATTATGATCAAGTTTAGTTGTTCGAGTTCAGGCCAACTCGAGTCATTTCAATGGTCATTTGTTTATTTCATCTTTTGATGCTCATTGCCTGGTTATGTTTGCTTGGCTCTATAGAGACATTGGCGGAGAATACAGATGTTTAAAACTTGAATCTCCTTTAGGCGATTGAGATGTACAGATTTTGAATTGACACCAAGAAAGATAACAGGAGACGGGATGGGTGAAGATCTTCTCAAGATAATGCAATGGAATTCAGTCCGTGTGTGTTGGTTGGCTCTTAATTTGAAATGGGGAAGCTCTATTAATAGTGTTTTACTGGGCTAGACCCTCGAATCAAGCAGCAGTATCAGCAATAATTCTGCCAAAAAGAATCTACCTTCTTCTCTTTCCTACACAGCAAGTTCACATGCAGACTGACAAAAGACTTTCACATGTCTTTGTTTCTTGTGAAAATGTTAAATGACCTTTACTTTTCCCCTTTGCTTTCAGTTATATCCATACCCACCAACAACTACTGAAGCAGTGAAGCTCATTACTTACATTACTCCTCTCCCCCACCCTTCATTACATATCCTAATATGCATTGAACACACTTCAAAGAAGAAACATCGGCTTCTCTCTTATCTTCCAAGAGTTAGCCATGAATCTAATTCTATTCTTTGTCTTTGCTTTCTTGGTTCCTAGTTCCCTTCTGCTGGAAAGTGAGGCTGCTCGTTCCCAGCCAACAGGAACATACTCCCAGATTACTGTAATGGGTCTTGTTTATTGTGACACCTGCTCCAACAACACCTTCTCCAAACACAGTTATTTCTTATCAGGTAATGCCTAAATTCATTTCTTCACACTATGTAGTCAGTTGAGTTAGCCAAACCTAAAGTTAGAAGTTCTAATTCCAACAACTTGAACCCGAACTCGAATTCAAAAGGCAAAACTAATATCTTTTTAAGATTTGTATTGTGACTTCACAAGACTATTTTCGCGAGTAGGTTTTCTTATATAGTAATGTGATAAGTTTGATTTTTAACCTTTCGTTTTCTCTTTGTGCATTTTGATGTTGATTGAGTATTTTAAAGTGATTTGCTGATTGATTGATTGAATTTTGGTGTTACGCTGGTTGTTTTTTGCACAATTTTCAAACCTAATTTCAAAAAGAGTATCGACTCAGCTTCAACCACTGACCCAAAATTTGACACTCGTCCGTGTACTGTGTGTGTTATACACCAAAAAAAAAAAAAACAGGTGCAGAAGTTCGAATCGACTGCAAATTCAAAGCAGAAACGCCGCGGACGGCGGAGCAGATAGCATTCTCAGTGAACAGAACAACAAACAAATATGGAGTGTACAAGTTGGAAATACCGTCGGTGGACGGAATCCGATGCGCGGAGGATTCGGCGATGGTGTCGTTCTGCCAGGCGAGCCTGATCGGTAGCGCATCCTCCTCGTGCAACGTCCCTGGATACAGAAGCACATCGGGAGAAATTTCGATCAAATCAAGACAGGCCAATATTTGCATCTACAGCTTAAACCCGCTCAACTACAGGCCATCGACAAGAGATGATACCTTGTGCGCGAACTAGATGATGATGATGAAGACGAAGCTTCTTCTCTTCTGGTTTCTCTTTGAACATCCATGGCTTGGATTGTGTGAATTTCAACAAAATTGTGTGTAATGTACAGTTTTGGAACCACCCCTCTCCCTCTTCTCTTTACACTTCGGCCCTCCCATAATTAATATTTTCATTAGCAGCCTGTGTTTTTGTCTATTTAGTGTTTCACCTTCAAAAATTTTATAATATAATAGGCTATTAATTTCGTCCAATTAACATTTGTGCGTGATAACTATATTGTTTAATGACTACGTGAGGGATTGAATTTGGGGCGTTTTGATGTCACGAGGGTAGATAAATAAAGTTAAAGAGTGCGTACTTATCCGACATCAAATTGAAACATCCTACGACTATTTAGAATATTTCTAAATATATAAATTAGGACCTTAACACATAATTTTGGAATTCTTATGATTGAGTCATCGAAAAAGAAGCCCCACCTTGTTGGTGGGGCGTTACAGACTACCTACCTTAAAAAAATTTTCGTCCTCGAAAGTTGACTCGTCGCACTACTCAAAATGTCGGGGTGTTACAGACTCCCCTCATTCAAAAACTTTCGTCTTCGAAAGTTGATCGTGATCTTCTTTCTCCTTTTAATTTCTTCCTTAGAACATCTTTACTGCAGGGGATTCTTACTCTATCAAGGTTTTARTTTCTCTAACTAAGGTCTTAACATGTCCTACTCTAGGTCGAAGGGTCCTCACATACCTAAGCAAACTCATTGTCCTTACTTCTCTTTTGCCTTTGATGAGTTTTATCTAAAGAGCTTTCTTTACTAACTTCCACTGTTTAACTTACAACTAACACTGAACCTGACGGTGTGAGGACCTACAACTAACAACTTAATGCTTCCAACGATAACCCACCTACCAAATACAGGCATGGAGAATAGGGAATGACCCAACATCTAATTTCTTTGGCAGCTCAATTGTTGGATCGGTACAACAACCCTAGAGGGTGTGAATAGGATTAAATGAAACTTTTTTAATTTTTTACTACGGTGTGCCCAATTTAAACAATTATGTAAACTTTTTGTGAACAAATGATTTTAACACAAAATTAAATAACAAATTAGAAATACAAACATCCTAATTAATTTCACCAACCAAATAATTCAAATATAAATATTTGACCATAAACATGAAAACAAATTCGAACAATTAATTTCATGCAATTTGTAATAAAGAAAATTAATTGCAAAAATTAAATAGAGTAGGGTTAGAGAAAATGACACCAGAAATTTTATAGTGGTTCAGCAACAATCGGCCTACTCCACTCCCCAAGCACCTCTTGGGTATTCGATTAAGAAACTTTGACTCTTTCCACGGTAGGAGTCAAATCGATATAAAGTCTTTTTTTTGGAGCAAGAAGAAACCCGATCCTTTCCACAGTTTAGTATCAAACCGTTACAAATGCTATTTTTCGGGCTCAAGAGTAACCCTTATAAAGAATATGGAAATTTGAGAACAAACTTACAAACTCTCTCAAATAGTGGATATATAAATTTTTGCTCACAAATTTATAAGAAAAATTCTTACAAATAAAAGCCCTCAAATGGCTAAGAGAAATAAAATTGGAAGTACTAATATCTCTCAAATAAAAAATTTATCTCACAAGAAATTAGAACAACATTTGAAATTTTGAAGAGATGAACATAAAGAGATTGGAGAGAAAGTTGGAGAGGAAAGTTGTTAGAATTTTGAGAGAAGAAGAGTTGATTAAATAGGAAAAAAAGATCCAAATTTTTTTTAAGTTACCTTGGATGGTAACTTTTTTTTTTCCTTTTTAACATCATGCCACATGTCAACATTTCATTGGACCACTTAGTTGATTCAGCGTCATTCATCTCGGGTAATTTTTCTTCCAACTTTGTTGGATCATAATTTCTTCGTTTGAGCTCCGATTTGGGTAATTCAAAATTAGTTGGAATCATCGTATCGTGCTCTACGCTGTGGAAAATTTAAAACACTAAAATTATCAAAAAAACAAAATATGTATTATCAGTAAATCATATAATATTATTGAAGCTCATAATAAATTTATGTTTTATAACAATAATTATTATACACAAAAAACATTTAATACTAAGCGTGTTTGAAATCAAAAAACTAATTAATTAAATTAATTAACCGAGATTAAGGGCCAAAGCCAACATCAACAAGTCTTCCTTAGATCTTAAACAAAAATCCCAAACTCCAATAGGTTCAATGAATAACAGAGAACCTTTCCACTTCCACTACTTAATCGACGAACAACCAAATCCAACCATTCCAACCCAAGGCTCACTCGCCAAGAGACAACATGAACAGGGGAATGACTCACCTTAAGTCACAAGCCAAAACATTGCGGACTAGAATTCTGCATATAACGATAATTCCAATGAAAGAGTAGAGTCCCGTCAAGCACCGAAAAAAGGAACTAAACATAGTGAAATAGTACCTATTGCAACAACAACTCCATGAAGCATACACGAAGTTAAGCACATAACTACCTAACCATCTAATGGAGCATCCTATGGTTAACTAACTCACAAGTATCAACATAACAAATCACAAAACAAACATGTTATACTTCGATAGTTTATAAGTCAATCAACCAAAAGATTGAGGATAAAATTGAAAATAATAAGATATTGAACACTAGAATATATTAGAAACTTTATAGTATAATTTAGGATATATTTTTATGCACATCTTTGAAAGATTAAACGTTTAATTGAGAAAAATCAATGACAAATTTTAAAGAGGACGAAACCAATAATTGGCTAAACTTTAAGCACATATCTTAAAAACCTTTATTTATTTATCCTTTTTTGCAAAGGTAAAAACCTCTAAATTTAAGCACATCTCTTTTCATTTTACAGGGTCTAATGCGTCATTTTACATAGTTACTTTTTACGTACGTGTCAACAATAGGCGTAATTTTTGTAATATTTTATTTGATAGTATTTAGTATAGTTTTGTAATTATTTGCCGACTATAATTTCGTATGGATTCGTGAATACTACTAAATGGACCCAGGCCCAGGCCCAGCTATTAAATTTCCTCCAGTAGCCCAATTTATTTGGGCCCAAGAGTTCAGCCCATTTCATTAAAGAAAAGAAGAAAAAGAAAATAAATAGAAGCCCTAGCCGCCTGCTCTGCTTTCCCTCTCATTCTTCTCTTCCTCCTGTTGGCCGCCGCTTCCTCTCCCGCAGCGTAAAATGGTACAATCTCCTCTCGCTCTCGTTTCGGTTATTCAATCTTCTGTTTTCAGATGAAAGAGTAGAATGTACCCAATGAATACGTGATTGTTTAGTATGTTTTTGAATATGGAACTTGGAATAACCCTACCCAAAACCTTCGTATCATGAACACATTGTTACTACGTTTTCTGGGTTTCCAGATTTGAAATCTGAAAGTATTGAATACATCATGGGATCGGGTTTTTAGAGAAGTTTGTTTTGTCGATGTTTACTAATATTTGTTTTGATAATTGAATCTACTTCTGCTACCTGTAGTTTGAAGTATTTTTTTGGGATCTTTGTTTTTGATGTGCTTGTAGCTGTGTTTCCTTGTGTTTCTGCTGGATATTGGACTGCGTCTTCTAAGAATGCTTGTCAAGTTAGCTTGGTTGAAACCCGAAAGGCATTCAGTTTTGGGTTTCACTCATTTAGTTTTCCTTCATGGACGCCATTGGTTTCCTGGCCCTATTGTTCAATCATCATTATTTTATAAATAAATACAATTCGTGTTGCGTAATAATTTTTGTAACCCCTTTTATGGTTATTATTTGATTTTTAGGCTGAATTTGCGTGCATTCCTTGTATGAATTTCAGTATTCTTAAAGAAACATCGATGCTAATTTAACCTAATATCGGAGGAAATTTTTTTGATTAAAGTCTCGTTGTTCTACACCATTTTTTCACACAAATATGACTGTATGAGAGAGATTTATTTGAGTATAGGTTTAGTACTTGTAGTCTTTTCTTATAAGTTGTAAGTTTGAACCCCCTCTCCCTCGTCTCAGTTTTGACAGAAAAGGTGATTATATTTTATTAGTTATCTCCAGGTTTTCTTATAACTTGGTTTGGCTTCTTTACCTGGAATGAAATTTATTGACATAATCTTATTGCTTTTTTAAAAGGCACCAAAGAAGGCAGTTGGAAAAGCCTTGGCAGCAGCAAAGAAGAAGCCGGTAAACAATTTTTATTCATTAAAAGTTCTTGTTTAATTATTGTTCTGTTTCTTGGTTGCTTTTTGTTTAATACAATCTTGGGGTGTTAGCAGGAGAAGGTGGTGAACCCACTATTCGAGAAGCGTCCAAAGCAGTTTGGAATTGGTGGGGCATTGCCACCCAAGAGGGATTTGACACGGTTTGTTAAATGGCCGAAAGCTGTCCAAATTCAGAGGAAGAAGAGGATTCTCAAGCAGAGGTTGAAGGTTCCACCAGCTTTGAATCAGTTCACAAAGACACTTGACAAAAATCTTGGTAATGAAATCATATATGAATCTTCTCATTCAGAATCCTTTTACATTATCAGTCAAGAAATTCTTAAATCAACCATTACGTTTTAGAATGTTATTATTGTATAGTTCTCTAAATTACAACTTTTAACCATCTTGGGTTTATTACATTTCCAATGTCTTCATTATTTTCAATATTTTTAACTAGCTTTTGATTCTGTTTCTAATAGTGGATTGCTTTAGGCTGTAACCTTCAGTCTCTTAGTATGTGATTTCAGATAGAATCTTCTTTCTTGTTTGGTTTCTTTGATTATGCTCATACCTCATCACATGTTGTGTACTTTAGAAGTTCGATTGATTGAAGTGTTATAAAATGATGGTTTTTATCAGAATAACTAGTAGTATCTGTGCATGTCCTGTGCCTTTGTTTTTGATTATGGTCTTTCATTGCCTTTGCAGCATATGCTGTTTGGTTGTTTGGGAAAATGTTAGTTTTTTGACCTGATTCCAACAAATGCCTCTGTTTTGGTTTAAGTGTATTTTTTGATTTTGCTTTTTAAGTGTTTGTTGTATTGGCTATGTAGCGACAAACCTGTTCAAGATGCTTTTGAAGTATAGGCCCGAGGACAAAGCCCAGAAAAGGGAGCGTCTTTTAAAGAGAGCTCAGGAAGAGGCTGAAGGAAAATCACATGATGCTAAGAAGCCTATTGTTGTTAAATATGGTCTCAACCATGTTACCTACCTCATTGAGCAGGTGCTATTCTATTCCATACATGTGTAAAATTTACTCTTTTCAACTGTCATACTTCCTGGGAGCCAATTAACTCAAGAAATGTACTTTCTTTCAGAACAAGGCTCAGTTGGTTGTCATTGCTCATGATGTGGATCCGATCGAGTTGGTTGTTTGGCTACCAGCTCTTTGCAGGAAGATGGAAATTCCATACTGCATTGTGAAGGGCAAAGCACGATTGGGAGCGGTAACCATGCCCTCTTATTCATTGTCACAGTCTTTTCCAATCTTTCAAAAGCCTACGGACCAATGCTTGTTATTTTGCCTTGTTTTAACAGATTGTCCATAAAAAGACTGCATCGGTTTTGTGCCTGACAACTGTAAAGAATGAAGATAAGCTGGAGTTTAGCAGGATCCTTGAAGCTATCAAGGTGAGTTACATAAGGCTTCAGATCCCACTTTACTAGTATTCCATCTGGTCATAGCTTCATTTTAAAACGTTGTATGTCTGTTTATCGTAGGCTAATTTCAACGACAAGTATGACGAGTACAGGAAGAAATGGGGTGGTGGAATCATGGGTTCCAAGTCCCAGGCTAAAACTAAAGCAAAGGAGAAGCTGCTTGCCAAAGAAGCTGCTCAAAGGATGTCTTAGGATCACAGAGTTGCCCTTCTATTATAACTTTCAGAGTTTTCAGTTCTGTTTAATGAAAAACAAAGACTATGGAGACTTGGCAATTTTTTCTGGCTCTTTAGTTTATTCAAAACATCACAAGTTAGAAGTTTTGTTTACTTRTGATTTGCTTATATGCTTATTTCAGATGAAGTTTTGATATTGCAGACAGTAATGTAATTTCAAGGTGATTTGGGCAGATGAATTATTTACAAGTAAAATTGAAACTGAGGTTTTTCAAAAAGAAAAAAAAAAGGGTAAGAGAGGTTCTGAATAGCTGGTTCTTGACCATCTGATTAGTATTTTTGAGATTTTCTTTCAAGTACTAAAATTTTGGTCTGAATAGTAATTTTGTCCCTTTGATTTGGTTACTCTATTTTTAAAATGGTCTATTTTAGTCCATCTATTTTTAAAGGTGATTTGTACTTCCAATTTTTACTTATTTTATGTACTTTTAAAGACTAATCAATTTGATTCCTATTTATAAAATTTTAAACTATGGCCATAATTAAAAAAAAATTGTGAGTAATTCAGTGTGTGAATTGTTAACGGATCAGGATAAATGTTTTGCAGGACCAAACAGGACCAAAAAAACAAAAGTAAAAGTATATAAGAACCAAATAGATATTTTAAAGAGATTAAAATAGTATTTTAATGTAATTTTTTGAAATAGTGATAAAAAATTTTATACTTCTGTTAAATTTGGTAAATGAAAATTGCCATGCTATGTAAATAAGTAAATAGAAGTTTTAAAAGTAATAAAAATGAACCAAACCAAAGTATTTAAAACTAATTTTAGTTTTATTATCAACGTCAGAAATAAGAAGTACAAAATACAAAACCTCCATGTTTGATGGAGCTGTAAGTTAATGTACTGCCTCTACTGATATATTTTTTTTGAGGAAAGTCTGTCATCCTTATTCTAATTTCTCTTGTTCTCTTTTCTTCTATGGAAACCTTAAAATGTATTTCCTATTACCAATTTGATTAACGTGGAATTAGAGGTTTTCTATCATAATTTCATTTTAATAAATAAAAATTTGAAATGTGTAAGAGTAATATTTCTATTTTTAATCGTTTACTTAATTAGATATTTGTAATTTGCAATGAAACTTAGTCCATACAGTTTATATAAAAACTTATTTTTGTTTGTGTACTTAAATACGAAACTCGAAAGGCAACATATGATTAGGTGTGATGCCACCTAAGACTTATTCCGTAAGCCACGTCTGCAGGCTTAAAAAAAGAAAAAAAAAAAATAAAAGAAAAAGGTGTGCCCAAATTTTGGGATCTCTCTCAACTGTATTCTTCCTCTCCCAATTTTTGCGCACAAATTTAGCAAGTTATGTTTTATTGTTGGCCAAATGAAAGGGATTTTTGGGAGGGAGAGTTGAGAGAGTTTTAATTGGTGTAATTTTAGAGAAATAATTGTTGATTTTCGGGTGTGCTTGAAGGAGTAATACTCTGCTTTTATATTTAATCTGGTTCATTGCTTATTGGGTATTCTTTGCTCGAATGAATTTGTCGACAATTAAGTATGGTTTTGTGTGTACCCGATGCAAGTTCTCAAAGCAGCTCTTTCCATTACGTTTCTCTTCCATTTCTCTATTGTCCCTTTTGATTTCTTCTGTGTCTGAGTTCAGTTCTGAAAGTGGGTTCCATTACATTTTTCTTCCGCTTCTCCATCGCCCCGAAACTGAGTGTTTGTTGTAATGGAACCAGACGAAATTTCTGCCTACATCGGCCGTGAATCTGGGCAGTCGCTCCATAACTTGACCACAACCTGCACATCTGCCGACCGGATTCGCTCCCATGGGATTTTCACCGGATCAAACCCTTTTGAGTACTCTATACCTTCTCTTCTAATTCAGTTGGTTATTTCTGGAGGGGCCATTATGTTGTTTTCTCACCTCCTCAAACCCTTCGGCCAACCCCTCATCGTCTCTCAAATCTTGGTAACTCTTCTCTCTTAATTGCTCGCATGATTTGATTTCTATTCCTGTTATCTTTTCTTTTCTTATTGAATTCCATTTTATCAGGGAGGCTTAGTTCTAGGTTCTTCAGTTCTGGGCCGGTTCGATGGTTTCAGAGAAACCTTTTTCCCCATGAGGGGATTCATATTCCTTGACATAGTAGCTTCAATGGGATATATATTTTACTTCTTTCTCATTGGAGTGCAAATAGATCCTTCCATAGTAAAGAAGATTGACAAGAGGGCATTTGCTATTGGGTCCTGTACCGTGGCTTTGCCTTTGATTCTTACCCTCATTTCCAGTTCCATTGTAAACTCCATGAATGATGTGAACTCCCAATTCAACAAAACCTTTGTCATTGTTTGTGCAACAGAGTCCTTTATCAATTTCCCCACGATTGCTTGCTTTCTTTCTGAGCTTCATAGAATGAACTCTGAGCTCGGGAGAATCGCTTTGACATCTTCAATGGCTTCTACTTTGTGCAGCTATTGCATTCTGTTTCTAGGAGCTCTCTTGAATGGACCAAATGCTCACAGATATGAGAGGTTCTCAATATTTTTTCCTTCTATGATTCTGATAGCCATCATTTATGTGCTTCGACCTGCCATTCTTCGGATGATGAAGCAGAATCCGGTCGGACAGCCGTTAAAAGAGGGCTATGTGATTACCTTGCTTTTAGGGGTGTTGGTGACTGCCTTCTTTTGCCAGGCCACTGGTTTGTATTTATATTTTGGTCCCCTTGTACTTGGGATTGCGATACCTCCGGGGCCTCCCATTGGATCAACAATGGTAGAGAGACTTCATTTCAYCACCTCTTGGATTTTCATGCCATTCTTCTTTGTCAAAATAGGCTGGTTCATCAATATCTTTATCATTAAACTCAAAAGTTTCTTAGTCCTGTCGTGCATTATCGTTGTTGTTGCGTTGGGAAAGTTTCTAGGCACCTTTATGATTTCAATCTACTTCAAACTGCGTGTGAGAGATGCCGTATTGCTTGGCCTCATCGTGAATAGTCAAGGAGCTATGGAGCTTGGTTTGTTTTATTCGAAGAAGAAGGAGAAGGTAGGAACAAACATTTGTTGTTGATCATCTAATTGTATTTGATCATTTCTCACAATATATTCACTGATATTTTGTTCTCTAAATCTGTGCAGATATTTGACAATGAAACATTTTCAGTTATGTGCATATGCATGGTGATTTTGGTTGTAGTTATCACTCCTATAATAAGATATCTCAATGATTATTCAGGATCGTATGTAGTTTACAACAAAAGAACGATGATGCACTCGAGATCAAATTCTGATCTCCATTTATTAGTTTGCATTCATGACCAAGATGATGTTCCTAATGCCATTAAACTTCTCGAGGCCTTGAATCCGACGAGACAAAGCCATCTTGTTGTTTACATGCTTCATCTTGTTGAGCTTCTTGGCCGTGCTAACCCACAACTCATTGCCCACAAACTTACAAAGATAGGTACTTCAAGGTCTTGCCCTTCTGAGCCTATCGTTAATGCATTCAAATACTTTGGACAGAGCAACCGTGACATAGTTGAAATTTATCCCTTCACTGTTATATCTCGTTTTGCGACTATGCACCACGATGTTTGTACGCTCGCATTCGACAAAGAGACTTCTTTGGTTCTTGTTCCTTTCCACAAGAGATTTCATTCCAATGGTGTGATGTCATTGTGCAAAAGTAAAATGAGGACAATAAATAATTGCATCCTCGACAAGGCACCCTGCTCTATCGCCCTTGTTGTTGATCGTGGACTCTTGAAAGTCTCAAGCTCTATCACAACGAACTTGCATTCTTTTCACATAGCTGTGGTCTTCATAGGTGGACCAGACGACCGAGAGGCAATGTTCATTGGGGCAAGAATGGCTGGGCACCCCAATATTAACTTTACAATGATCCGTCTAGTGGAGAATGAAAATGTCCCATGCTATAATGTAGAAGAAAGGAGGCTTGACGATGAGGCAGTGTGCAAGTTTCGACAAACCATGGTAGGCAACTGCAAAGTAACGTACATAGAACATGTGGTTATGGACGGCACTGAAACGGTCTCTATACTTCGTTCGATGGGGAACAATTTCGACCTTGTAATGGTTGGAAGACGCCATTGTCTGAGTTCGCCTCTGGTTCAAGGATTGATACTTTGGAATGAAGATACAGAACTTGGGATAATTGGGGAGGTATTGGCCTCTTCAAATTTCATGGGCAATGCCTTAATCTTGGTTGTGCAACAACACRCAGAAGAGATTGATGAAGACCAAGAGAATAACCTGGAACCTATTTTTCCCATTGACAGGTATTAGATATTTAGTATAGGATGATGGAGAAGAAATTTACTTCAATAGCCGATCATTCAAAAGTTTTGATTGTTCCTCAATTCACTTACTCCAATGGTTCAAAGTTGGAGAAGTCATTTTTGCCCTCTCTCACACTTTTTTTTCTTTGAACTTCAACGATGTACATTTTCACTCAAACCATATCCATGTGTAAACCAAACAACACCATTTAGAGCTAGTTAATTTCTCTTCCAATTTTACTCAATTTTGTGTTTTCTTTAATGTATTTATATTTATTTTTTTAATTACTTTTGTATTTTGTTTTTTTTTACTGTTGAGGAAGAAACATTTTTTAGACAATATTATCCTTGATTTTTAAAATGATACCTAAATTGTCTCAGAGTTTTCAGTTCTGTTTAATGAAAACAAAGACTATGGAGACTTGGAAATTTTTTCTGGCTCTTTAGTTTATTCAAAACACGACAAGTTAGAAGTTTTGTTTACTTATGATTTGCTTATATGCTTATTTCAGGTGTAGTTTTGATGTTGCAGACTATTTTGTAATTTCAAGGTAGATTTCAGCAGATGAATTATTTACTAGTAAAATGGAAACCGAAGTTTTTCGAAAAGAAAAAAAAAAAAGGGTACGAGAGGTTCTGATCTGCTGTTCTTGACCATCTTATTAGTTTTTTTGAGATTTTTTTCCAGAGTATTATAATTTTGGTTTAAATAGTAATTTGGTCGTTTTGATTTTGGTTCATTTTCGTTCTTCTATTTTAAAGGTGACTTGTACTTTCAATTTTTGCTTATTTTGTGTGTMCGGTGGAGTGTTTGTTTGATTTAATTTATGTACTCTTAAAGAATAATCATCAATTTGTTTCCTATTTATAAAATTTGCTATATTTAAAAAGAAAGTACGAGTAATTCAGTGAGTGAATTGTTAACAAATCAAAATAAATGTTTTGGAGGACTAAAAWGAACAAAAGTATAAGAATCAAATAGGTGTTTTAAAGGGAATAAAATAGTATTTAAACGTATAAATAACATATTGATGTTTATTTTGGTTTTTGTATCTTTAACATTGGTAAGTTTTAATCCTTAAATTTCCGGCTCTATAATTTGAAATAGTTATCAATTTGACCTCTTTGTAAAATTTATACGCAATAGAAACTTTTTTATTGAACTTAGTAAATGAAAATTGTCCTGCTAAAATTATAATGTAAATAAAATTACATAAAATAAAAAGTATAAAAATCAAAATAGACGTTTTGAAAATATATAGATAAAAATGAATCAAATCAAAGTATTTAAAACTAAAATTTTTCTATTTAGTTTTATTATCAACCTCGAAAATAAGAGCTGCAAAAACTTGACAACACAAGATTAACATTCTCATCGTATTAAAAAAGAAGAAAAAGAAATAAGAAGTATAAAACCTGCCAAGACAGAGCGAGCATTAGCTAAACAATAATTGACATATATTTCTACCTAGAAGTCGTGGGTGATTTGATCCTCTATCCTCACATGTTGTACTGGAAAAAAAAAAGAGTTTAGAATTCCCACTCCCACATATTATATCATAATTATATATATATATATATATATATTCTCTAATTTCTCTTGTTTTCTTTTCTTCTATAGAAACCTTAAAATGTATTTCCTATTACCAATTTGATTAACGTGGAATTGGAGGTTTTCTATCATAATGTCATTTTAATAAATAAATGTTTGAAATATTTAAGAGCAATATTTATATTTTTAATTGTTTACTTAATTAGATAGTTGTAATTTGCAATGAAAATTATTCCATAAACTTCTATAAAAATTTATTTTTGTTTGTATATTTAAATACGAAACTCAAAAGTCAACATAAGTTTTGCTCAACGATAATTGACACCTATCTCTGACTAAGAGATCATGAATTCAAATTCGGTTGTACTTACGAAAAACACAAACCTTCAAAATAGCTTAAAAGTTATATAAGAATCAAAAAATTAATAAACAAATACTTACCACTTTTAACATTTATCATGTTAAAATCATTATTATTTATATCAGTTTCACATTAGTAAAATTTTGTTAAGATTTTTTTTTTTTTTAAAATTTATCGCTATTTCCCGGTAGAAATAGAAATATATAAACATTTTTTGAAATAATTTTTAAATACAATAAAATTTATCTTTGTAAGTAAAGATAACTATATCAATTTCTTTCGCTCCAAATATTACAAAATAATGATATTAATTAAGTAAAAATAATGCTCTTAAAATTTCGGTTGGATTTTTATTGTCAAATGCTAAAATTTTCTTTAAAAAAAAAAAAAAAATTCTTAACTCAGAACATTTTAAAATAAAGCTGGAGCATCTAATATTGAAAATTGGAAGGTTTGGTTGTAGGCCCTTCCAAATTTGAATTGATTTTCGTTGATCTTCCAAGTTAAGCATAATCACTCAATTAGTATTTACAAAAAGGTTTAGAAAGAAAACAATCCCCAATTCTCATTTCCATTCCATTCCCAATCATCCCTTTTCATTACAACACTTTCCATTACTTTGTTCTTCCTTTTCTCTTTTGCCCCCTTTTGATTTCTTCTGTGCTTGAGTTGTGAAAGTTAGTTCCATTACATTTTTCTTCCGTTTCTCCATTGTCCCTTTTGATTTCTTCTGTGTTCGAGTTCTGAAAGTGGGTTCCATTACCTTTTTCTTCTGTTTTTCCGTCGTCCCTTTTGATTTCTTCTGTGTCTGAAGGATCTTTTCAGTTTTTGCTCAATTTTCCCAGCTTGGAAAACTGAGTTTTGTAATGGAACCAGACGAAATTGCTGCCTACATCGGTGGTGAATTTGGGCAGTCACTCGAGAACTTGACCACCAACACCAACTGCATATATGCTGACCGAATTCGCTCCCATGGGGTTTTCGGTGGATCAAACCCTTTTGAGTACTCTATACCTTCTCTTCTAATTCAGTTGGTTATTTCTGGAGGGGCCATTATGTTGTTTTCTAAGCTCCTCAAATCCCTCGGCCAACCCCTCATCGTCTCTCAAATCTTCGTAACCCTTTCTATCTCTCTCTCTTGATTGCTTGCGGTGATTTCTATTCCTATTATCTTTTCTTATTGAATTTGATTTTATCAGGGAGGCTTAGTTCTAGGTTCTTCGGTTCTGGGCCAGTTCAAGGGATTCAAAGAAACCTTTTTCCCCATGAGGGGATTCATATTCCTTCACATAGTGGCTTCAACGGGATATATATTTTACTTCTTTCTCATTGGGGTGCAAATAGATCCTTCGATAGTGAAGAAGATTGCAAGAGGTCATTTGTTACCAGGTCCTGTACTGTGGCTTTACCTTTGGTTCTTAACACAATTTGCTCTATAGACTCCCAAATCCCAAAAGCCTTACCATTGTTGCTGCAATAGAGTCCTTTATCAACTTTCCCACGATTGCTTGTTTTCTTTCTGAGCTTCATAGAATGAACTCTGAGCTTGGGAGAATCACTTTGACATCTTCCATGACTTCTTCTTTGTGCAGCTATTGCATTATGGTTCTAGGAGCTCTCTGAATGCACCAAATGTTCACAGATATGAGACGTTCTCAATAATTTTTTCTTCTATGATTCTCATATCCATCATCATTTATGTGTTTCGGCCTGCCATTCTTTGGATGATGAAGCAGAATCCGGTTGGGCAGCCGTTGAAGGAGGGCTATGTGATTACCTTGCTTTTAGGGGCATTGGTGACTGGCTTCTTTTGCCAGGCCACTAGTTTGTATTTATATTTTGGTCCCCTTGCACTTGGGATTGCAATACCTCCGGGGCCGCCCATTGGATCAACATTAGTAGAGAGGTTTCATTTCATCACCTCCTGGGTTTTCATGCCAATCTTTTTTGTCAAAATAGGCTGGTTCATCAATATCTTTATCATTAAAGTCAAAACTTTTTTAGTCCTGTCGTGGACTATCGTTGTTGTTGCATTGGGAAAGTTTTTAGGCGCCTTTATGATTTCAATCTACTTCAAATTGCATGTGAGAGATGCTGTATTGCTCGGCCTCATCATGAATAGTCAAGGAGCTATGGAGCTTGGTTTGTTTTATTCAAGGAAGAAGGACAAGGTAGGAACAAGCATTCATATATCGTTGATCATCATTATCATCTAATTGCATTTGATCATTTCTTACAATATACTCACTGAAATTTTGTTCTCTAAATCTGTGCAGATATTTGATAACGATACATTTTCAGTGATGTGCATATGCATGGTGATTTTGGTTGCAGTTATTACTCCAATAATGAGATATCTCAATGATCCTTCAGGAACGTATGTAGTTTACAACAAAAGAACGATAATGCACTCGAGATCAAATTCTGATATACATTTATTAGTTTGCATTCATGACGAAGATGATGTTCCTAATGCCATTAAACTTCTCGAGGCCTTGAATCTAACGAGACAAAGCCATCTTGTTGTTTACATGCTTCATCTTGTTGAGCTTCTTGGCCGTGCTAACCCACAACTCATTGCCCACAAACTTACGAAGGTAGGTACCTCAAGGTCTTGCCCTTCGAGCCTATCGTTAATGCATTCAAATACTTTGGACAGAGCAACCGTGACATAGTTGAAAATTATCCCTTTACTGTTATATCCCATTTTGCAACTATGCACCATGACGTTTGTTTGCTCGCATTCGAAAAAGAGATTTCTTTGGTTCTTGTTCCTTTCCACAAGAGATTTCATTCTAATGATGTGTTGTCATTGTGCAAAAGTAAAATGAGGACAGTTAACAATCACATCCTTGACAAGGCACCTTTCTCTATCGTCCTTGTTGTTGCCCGTGGACTCTTGAAAGTCTCAAGCTCTATCACAACGAACTTGCATTCTTTTCATATAGCCGTGGTCTTCATAGATGGACCAGACGACCGAGAGGCGATGTTCATTGGGCAAGAATGGCTGGGCACCCCAATATCAACTTGACAATGATCCGTCTAGTGGAGAATGGAAATGTCCCTTGCTATAATGCAGAGGAGAGGAGACTTGACGATGAGGCAGTGAGCAAGTTTCGACAAACCATGGTAGGCAACTGCAGAGTAATGTATATAGAACAGGTGGTTACGGATGGCACAGGAACAGTCTCTATGCTCCGTTTGGGGAACAATTTCGACCTTGTAATGGTAGGAAGGCGCCATTGCATGAGTTCGCCGCTGGTTCAAGGGTTGATACTTTGGAATGAAGATACAGAACTTGGGGCAATTGGAGAGGTATTGGCCTCTTCAAATTTTATGAGAAATGCCTTAATCTTGGTTGTGCAACAACACACAAAAGAGATTGATGAAGAGAATCACTTAGAACCTATCTTTCCCATTGATAGGTATTTAGTATAGGATGATGGAGAATCTTCAATAGCATATCATACAAAAGTTTTGATTGTTCTTTCAATTTACTTACTCTAATGATTCAAAGTTGGAGAAGTCATTTTTGCTCTCTCTCACATTCTTTTTTTCTTTGAGCTTCAACAATGTACATTTCCACTCAAACCATATCCATGTGTAAACCAAACAACACCGTTGAGCTGGTCAATTTCTCACCAAATTTTACTCAATTTTGTGTTTGCTTAATGTTTTTATATTTATATTTATTTATGTTTGTTCATAATAATGATTTAAGTTTAGTTTAGTTGTCTTTTAGTTTAGAGTGAAAAGTTGATCTCCCTTTAAGAAAACTAGAAAATTGGTGTTAGTATTTTGTTTAGTTAGAAAAGTTCACATACCACAATGTAAAAGGTATGATGATGCATGGGATTATATCATGACATAATGAGTTGTCGAGTAAATTTTTGTATGGTGTTACATTATATTTTTTTTTTAGTACAACAATTTGAAGATATATGAGATGAAACTTCCAAACTCAAAGGAAGGACTACATGCCAAATATCGTTGAACTATACTTATGTTAGACAATTTTAATTATAATTTCATTGTTTAAAAAGTTTAATATGCCCGTAAATAATTTTACTGTTAAAACAAGTAAAGAAAAGTGACATGGTTTCTATGTTGTAATCAGAGCAATGGTAAAGTTTGCTTCTAAGAAAATGAACCATGTGGAAAATAGGGATAACCATCAAACAATTATTTTCTGTTTCTTTTAGTTCAAGAATTACAAGGACGAGAGACCAAACCATCAAAATAAATGATAGTAACATGTGTTTTTTTAGTTGAGTTAGGYTCGGATTGACTTTTTTTTTCTTTTTCTTTTCTTCCTAAGCAACTAAACAATTATTTTTCAAAGACATGTTCACTGTTCATGTTCTAACCCATCTCCCACATTTGTCTAATGATTATCGGGTACTTCAAGTTTGTTGTTCATTTTTAAAAGCTATTTTGCGACAACTCTACATGTTTCCATCACTCATTTCAATGACAATTTTTCAAGGGCACATTTTGGATTAATTTTAAACTTCAAGAGTATAAGTGAAACAATTTAAAGGATATTGATATAATTAAAACTTTTGAAGGGTATTATGAATATAGTTTAGCCTAAAATTTTTAATTATAATCTTTCTTGACAACATTTTTGTAATCATATTTTAGGGCAAAATATACTTCTTAAAAATGAGGTGGCAAAGTTTTTTTTATGTGTGTGTATATATATTTTTGGCTTACTTGGCTTTCCTCTCTTTCCTTCTTTTTGTCCTTAAAGATTGTTAACAGCGTGTATTGTCGGGCCTTACCACGAGGTCTGCCTACCTGACCTTTCGACTTTAAACCACTAGAATTTCCTATATTTGGTTGCCCTTCACTCACAGGTTTTGTTTGTGAATCTGAATGTCCCTATACAGTTGGTCTCRGAGAAACTTCTTGGGATGCACTTTCCTTCCTGTCACAATCGAGGACGTTCCCTTTTCATATACCTGCTTGCTCGCAGTTATAACAAACAATGCTCGCTCCCCAAAGGCATTCACCCCTGTGCGACTTACCACAATTCTTACATACATGATATCTAGTTTAACTAGAAGCAGACTCTGCTTACTGCCCGAACTACTAACTACCAGAAAGTCTTCTATACTAACTCGAGCCACTCATAGTCTGTTGCGGAAAATTTACATTCGTTCTAAAGTTTTGTGATCCCCGAAATCTCGGTTTAAAACTCCCTTGACTCGACACCCCAGGTGTAAATCCTCTGCTATTGTCTCGAAAATGTCTACCACTCGAAAAACCGATAGAGCCAGAAAAAGTGCCATTCTCTGACACTTCCCTATGATTTTTCTTGTCTAACAAACTTTTCTCAACCCTTGCAGCAGCTTCCATCAAGGCCCAAATTCTCGCCACTCAGATGCAGTAGTACAGCTTCAAATCTCCTCACGCAACCCATCCTCAAATCGTCTACATCGGTCAATCTCATCTTCAATGATAGTGGTAGCATACTTTGAAAGTTCCAAATATTTTTTCTGGTATTCTGCAACTATCATCGACCCTTATACTAGCTTTAAGAACTCACTTCTTTTCACATATTTGTAGGATCGTGGGTAGTATGCTTCATTAAACAAGTTTTTGAATTCTCCCCATCTTAATTCTTCAGATCTTGGTTTTCTCACCATAACCGACTCCCACCATTCACCAGCTCCTCCTTCTAGCAGAAATGTAGTCAGCCTAACTTTCCTGTCTTTTGGACATCCCATCATATTAAAACATTTTTCAAGCTTTTTCGTCCACGACTCTGCATTAGCTGGATTTGCCGTCCAGAAATGTAGTCGCCCCTAAAGTTTTGAGCCGCTCAATCTTGAAGTTTTTCTCGAGATCTCTCATCAACATTCTTATTCCCAATGCAGCAATTCTTGCCATTACACGTTCATCTTGATCAATTATATCCTCCTGTGAATATACTGGCCGGTGGCTAGACTTACAAACTACGTCTTCTGCCGTTGTATTATGCCTACCAGGGACCTATTGAGTTTTAAATTCTTTAAGCCTATACGTTTTGCCTCCACACAATAAGATTAAATGATATGCATATCACACAATTATTACATAAATCATAATGCATCTTCTATTTATGTTATGCAGGATCTTTATGCTCTTATATCAAACTGATACGATCTGTTCCAAAACACCTACTAGTTCTAGAACAAGCCGCGCCGACCATAGACCCCAACCTACTATAGAGTCTATAAAGAAATTTGATTATAGACTCTGTAGTAGGTTGGGGTATATGGTCGGTGCGGCTTGTTCTAGAACTAGTAGGTGTTTTGAGGTAGGTCGTGTCAGTTTGAGAGTGATTTTGGCATGACAAAGATCACTTTTGCCATTGCCCAAATCACTTTCATTTCCATTGATCATGTTTGGCAGATTAAAAAATTGATTTTAGGAAAACATAAAATCACTTAAAAATGATTTTTAAGGTATCACTTTGGTGGTGATTTTGAAAAATAAATTACTCTTAAATCTCTTTTTTCAAAATCACTCATTCTACCATCACTCTCAAACACACCCTAAAAGTTGTTTGGCTATTCTTTGAAATTATCTATTTTAGAGGGATACATTTGTTGTTATCCGTAGAAATTAACTTTATGAGCATATATGTTTGGGCTATACTAGTAATTTTAACATCTCTATAACTTGAAAATCCATAGAGAAGCAGTGGCAGGCACCAAATTCTCACTTTCAGAATTAATTGTTGGGTGTGTTGCCCTAAACTCGTAGTTTGTATTTATGTAAAAACAAATGTATATTCAATAAAGTTTTATTCAATCAATTTGTTGTTGAATTCATATCATTGCATTGTCCAAAATCCAATAAACTAAACATCCAAGGTTATTATCATGTAACCAGGATAGTATATCTATTGGGTATATATTTGATATACCCCTGATATACAAGTGGATAATGTTCCATGAATAACCTAAAGGGTCTATAGTATATGGATAAGACTGGGTACCTTATCCTGACAACACTATGGATACAACCCACTCTGTAAATATTACAGATGATTCGATCCAGGTCGTTCGTGTGCAGACATACGAGTGGGGGTATCCTATACAATGAGTTTGTATAAGATCAGACCGCGAAATAGCCAATCTTTAGATGTAACACCATTAACTAACAGATTGCTATTTCTTAGGATGACCAGACAACACATTCTCAATCTTGAGTGAGTTATGAACTCCTGCCCGTGAGAGCTCGTCCTTTGATCTGTATGGGTGAGAGTGACCCGTAACGCCAACTCAATATTCCTACCATTTTGGGGACGAGACCGAGTGGGAAGATGGGAACATAACTTCACAAGATGGAATTCACTCCTCCCTGACTTTAGGGAGTAGATGAGTGTTCTCTTAAATGCTGACTCTGGGACTTGAACAAGGGGCCCCACCCTCTCACTGGCTCGAGAGGGACTTCTGATTATTAGTCGGACCATAACCGGGTTGTTCATTAGAGGAGTAGTGGTATTTAAGGAGCAAGATGTAACACATGGGTAAAACGGTAATTTGACCCATCTGTGGTTACGAACACTCGTAAAGGATTGACTTGTCATTAATGGTCATATATCCGTGGACACGAAAACATTTTGCAGTGAGAAGAGTGCAATTGCAGGTCTTTAGTGGAGTGACATGTAGTTAACGAATGTTGATTAACTCGGTCAATGAGTTTGACCAATTAATCTCGTATCGTTGGAGCTTCTGATCTGTAGGTCCATTAGGTCCCCTTGCTAGCTCATAACGGGTAAAACAGGGATCAAGTTTTTGGAAAAATTTGAAATGTCCAAATTGCTTAAGGGATTATATGTATAGTGCTACATTATAATATATAGTTAATTCTAATTGAGACGATATATTATGAGAGAAATTATTTGAATGAGATTCATATGAATATGATTCATATTAAAACTATATGTTAAAAATAATGTGCATAAGATGTACATTACAACTCTAGGTTATACGAGAGAAATGCTATAGAATATGATTCTATTTTTGTAATAAATAATTAAGTGTTAATTATTTATTTGATATA